TTCTCTCCCAACAATATTGATTTATGTTTATTCTCATGATGTTCTTTCAGATTATATCTAACTCCCGAGTCACTGGTAGGAACACTTGATGTATAGTAGCCCTGCCCACTTGAATTCACAGTTGATTTCGACAAGTCCATTTCAGAATAATATGTGTTTCACAACTAGAATTCGAAAACTGAGTGAAGGATCTCATTGTGATAAGTTATATACCTTTGAATTTGAGAAGTGGGGGTATGATTAACGAATCATCACATTGATCATTATGAATCATGTTGCACACATGTTCCCAATTGCTCAATCATCGAAATTAATGAGTTCGTTGATTAATATAAATTAGTCTGATGAATCATGTTCCACATGTTCATAATTGCTCAGTCATCAAAATCAATGAGTTCGTTGATTAATATCAATTGATCTGATGAATCATTATGGACCAATGTACTTGATTGTTTTGATGAATGAGTTGATTTATTGATTATTCTACACTTTCCCATGTTGATTGACCAAATGATGAATTAATTGATGCATTGTTTTGTTAATCTACAATTCGTATGTCCACTTTTGTTTCAATGGATACAATTATAATCATATTCCCGTGGGGGTATTCCCTATATATATAAATTCATTCTCAGTTTATATTCCATATATGTGTTCGAAATGAATGTGGACGATGCATTGAATGTTGACGATGAATTCTCGGAATCAGATGAGATCGAGTTGGATGGAGAACAAGTGATCCGAATCCAATATAGTGTCGACAGTTTGCAGTTTCTCAACGGGTGGTCACAAGACTATGTCTGCCTTATTCAACATTATTATCGAATAACCATGTTGGAAGAAGAAAAATTTTGTACGAGCTGTTACTTCGACACAGTGGCAGAATACCCAGAAACCAATATTGACAGTAAACAAGAGTCTTTACATATAACAAATTTTCCAGTACACCTGGTAGCATATAGGGATACTTGCTACATTTGTAGTGTTCCGATATATATATATTGTTTAACTAGATTTTGTCTATTGTGCAATAGCTGAAAGATTGATTTCCAATAAGATATATTTTCATTTGATACCATTTTTATGTTCCATCTGTGTCTAAGAGAGAATAATACAATTGAATTGTTATTTTTAATACTCGAAATTCCAATAAAATTTATTCTCAGCCATATTTTTCCATTCATTATAGTCTCCAACATACAGTATATTTTGTATGGTGTAAATATCACAATTATCGTTTGTCTTACTGAATAATCAATATACAGGGTGTACCTAAATAACACCGGAAAAATTCGAGATAGGTTTCCTTGTGACATTCTAGCAAATAAAGTTTATATAAACATGTGTCCCAACTTTCTACGTTTTTGAGATATAGGATGTTGAAGTTGGAAGTATTAATTGTTTTTATTTATAACCCCCCTGTATAAGCTTTCATGGTGCCAAAATTCAGTATAGATGGGGACAGAAAAAGTCCCAAAATTTCAAAATGATTCTAAATGGGATTATTGAGTAATCTCAATGGAAGTCTCGAAAACACCTACATTTAAATTTGGAGTGACAACGAATTCTTATTGTTTCCTCAAAAACCAAGCTAGATACAAAAATCACACAGAGAATGAAAAAGTTGTTATTTCGATAGTTCAATCTGATAAAAATATGAAACTCACAAAAACCGGTGGCGTACAATGACATTCACCATGAATATCGATAAATTTAACCTGTGTCACGCCACTGGCAAAATTATTTCGAATCCAATTGCATTAGAAGAAGCTCCATATTACTATTAACAAAACCACAACTTTTTATTGAAATTGATGATAAGACAATTGAGAAATGAATAGAAAAAAGATTTTTCATGAAAATATCAATACCCTGTATCTAGAAAACGAAGCCACTTAAGACACATGTTTATATGAACTTTATTTCCTGAAATATCACGAGGAATCACCCCTTGAATTTTTCCGGTGTTATTTAGGAACACCCTGTATAGTAGCTGGTGTCACCTCTTTTGAAAATAACCAAGCCTACAAAATTGTACAACTCACTCCCTCTGTTATAGAAACACTCGAATTGAACCAAACAAAAAGCCGCTCCCAACTTTGTTACAGAGATCATGAATAATTAACTATTAATTGGAGACATCTGGCCATGCATCTCTGGGTCAGTTAATTCAGTCAGTTTTCCGGTCGGCGATCGTAACATGAAATCATGTTTTTTTCGTATTGTTTCCATGAAAGAATTATTTCAGTATATCGAAATGTGAGAGAAAAGTGATGTTTTGTATTTCTTATGTGAATGAAAAAAAGTGTAATAGTTCTTTGTATCAAGATGGATTTGAAAGGATGTACCTATCGAAAGTGATAGAAAAGTGAGTATTTGAATATGTTCATACATCACACAGTTTATTTCTTCGAAACGTTCATTTACCAAATTCTACTAGTTAAGTAATGATTTTCAATCTCAAACACTTTGATTCAAAATAATTCCAGTAATGCAAAGTCATTTGTATTATAATTTTATTTGGTGAAAATACGAGTCATTCTAGTACCGTTCAGAGATCGCATACCAAGAAAACTAAAGTTTCAACAAATTCAGAAAGTATCAATCATAAAACATTTGAAAAATACAAATTACATGTTTTAGTTAAAATTTCCCTTATAATATCAACAAACTAATTACATTACTTTTCTGAGTTTTGTAGAAACAATTACAACTTCATCTAAATCTTTTATAACTTCACAAATCTTTCTAAGTTTTTTTTGATATTTCTTCTTCTTCTTCTCAAGCTTTTTCCTTATTTCTAGTTTTCTTTTCACTAATTCTTCCATATCCCTCTGATTTTCTTTTCGTATATCAGCAAGGAAATCCGCGGTAGTATTGAGATCCCCATCTTGTATAGTATATTCTGAATCTTCGTTATCTGTTTCATTTTCCGCTTCAGACTTTTCTTCATCTCGTTCTTCAATTATTGAATTTCCACTTTCTGCTTTTTTCGTTTCACGGTCATCACCTTCCTTTTTAATGAAATTTGCATCCGTTTCTTCATCTCCTCCGTCATCTTGAACTTCTTCGTCATCCGACGAAACATCTGAGATGTCTTCAAATTCTGGCTGCACTAACACTTTTCCACGTCGAGGGGTTGATTCTGCTAATGGCCGAAACGGCATTGCTTTGTGATCACTAAATGAGCCGCTTACGAATTCGACACTCTGGTTTAATTGTGGTGAAATATTTCGAAACGTATCTGAGTTTTTGTCACGTTTGAGATACTGTAAAATATCAATTTTTTTCCTCTGAATTGGTACGGTCAAAACTTTTGTCTTCATTTTTTCAGTATCTGAGTTTTTTTTAAATTTGTTGAAACTTTAGTTTTCTTGGTATGCGATCTCTGAACGGTACTAGAATGACTTTGACTGCTTGTGCGAGTACTATTTATTTGTTCAGGGCTAATCCCCCATCAAGATCAAAACATTTACCAAACAACTCGCATCTTGCAAATTTACTGCACCATATGGGTACAATTACATATTCATTGTTTCAATTTTCCTATCAGTACGATTAATTTTTCGCTTCAAAAATTAAATCAACTGTAATGAGATAAAAAGGAATACATGACCTATCTTAACTGAAACTAAATGGGTCTAATTAACCATGAATAAAACATTCATTACTACCAATTCACCAAACTCGCATCTTGCAAATTTATTTCACCCCATTTTGATATCAGCGCGATTAATTTTTTTCGCCTACATATGTTGAACATCAGTTAAGACATGACCTATCCTAACTGAAACTGAATTGGACTAATTAACCATCTGCTGGTATATTAAAGATGATTATTCCACATGGCACAATTGTCTCATATTTGCGAAACTCGTTTCAATTTACCTATTCGTTATACTCTCGCTAATAAGAATCACCATCACTTGCTGAATAATTTGCGAATTAAATCCTATTTGAAAATATTAACCCACTTTAAGCCATCTGTTGAAAAATAATTATTTCAATGAACGTCATGAACGTCTCATGAAAAGCCTTCGCGTTAGTTATTTGTGGAAAGAATAAATATTTTTCTTTCTTATGAAAAGTTGAATAGGTAGATGCAATATTGAAGATTTTTTTCTTGGGGCGTACAAAAGTAATCCCTATAATATTCGAAGAACATCGTGCTAGGGAAAGGAGGTAGGTATTGTGATTTTTTAGCTTTTGGAAGTTCTTGGCAAATTATTGCCTAGAGTAGAGTGTTGTTCGACATATTTGAATGAAAGGATGCGCTGACTGGGTTTGTGATAGTGATAGTGATGAAATGATATAGCACAGATATCCCGCGGAATATTGAAGAGTGATTAGTCTTAAATGAATTATATAACTCATTCTCGTATTTTCACGTACTTAATGATTAATTGAATGAGATGCTGTGATTGGCTGCCTGATGCCGTGATGCCGGTAATGATTCTCTCAATATATATCGAGCGCTGTGATTGGTTGCCTGATGCCGTGATGCCGGTAATGATTCTCTCAATATATATCTACTTATAGAGAATCGAAAGACCTTTCAATCGAGGTATCTTTCGACCCTCCATTCCATTTAAAAAAATCTTCCAAAATGGCGCCCAGGCGCCATTTTGGAGGATACATATTTTTTTTTTGGAACAATATATAGCACTGAAACTACCATTGAAGCAAAAAAAAATTGAAAAAAAAAATCCCATCCGTTCAATAGTTAACCAGGGGGGGGGGTGACTTTATGGACACAGTGTATACAAAGCTCATTTATATTTTGCATCAAAAGGTCAATTGCACAATGTAGTTCAGTTTCTGTGAATAATATCTTGTATCTTTCTAACTGTGTTAGTAAGTGAAATATCAACTAAGGGTGATATTTTCCCTAATTCACCAGTGACATCACTTGAAAATTGAAAATTATCAAAGTTTCCTGTTGATTTCCGAAAATTATATAGGCATATAGTTTTCAATGCATTATTGTTTGTTTGTTTCAGAATGAAGTAGCCACAATTGAAGTCCGCCGATCAGGGCCGGACCTCCTCTTCACCAAAACTGTCATGGGAGTGATGTGGCGCTTCTTACCTTTTATGGCAGTCGTCCTTACGAATTTTCAATTCAAAGCTGAACAAGGTGAGTTCAGTAATAAGAACATTCTCTCGAAAACTGCATGAATCCATTCTTCATTCTGATATAAATCACTGGAAAAATTATGTACAATATGGCAATTATGTAGCAATAAGTATTTGAATGATGTGAAATCCTACCTTATCCCATTTTTTATGTTCTTAATGTTGAACTTCGATAATTGTGATCGAATACTGATGCAAGTGTTTCTTTCCCTAAATCCCATTGATTTCAATTCAGCCAGGTTAACAAACGACACCTACAGACCGGTTTCGAGCTCCTTGACTCTCATCAGTGTAGGGTTATCTCCAGCTAGCGGTCCGAAGACCGCCTTCTAAGCGTAACCTGGCCCAACGAATTCCAATCGGCAATATTTATGGTCTCAGAGGTATCTCTAACGCCATTGAGACCACAAAGAAGGAAACAAACACTCCATAAAACTGTAATACCCAAAAATAGGAGTGGCTGATTGCCCGACTGGCGTAATTAGCCACAATGCTCAAAGTGGAATGAACTGTTATACAGGGTGAGTCATTAGTGTGGCAAAGTGAGATAACGGCTTTACAGTTTGAGATAGATAGACAAAAGTTCCAGAGATGATCTAGGATCATGAGCAGCACATTTCCAAATTATTTCGCTTCATACAGGGTGACTCAGAAATGCGTGGCGTATCAAAGTTATACTTTTTCTTATGGGACACCCTGTATTTCATTGCATTTTCGCATTCTCCTTTGTGAGCTGATTTCATCAATGCATCACACTTGGGGTCTAGGGAGAATGATTACAGAGATATAGGGTGTTCAAAATCGAGATTTTTCAACTTTAGGATTTTTTTTGCGTCGAAACTATTCATTATTGGTCAAAACGGCTTTCATGTCCCTATCCCAACTTTTGATTTACTATCTACTGACATTTAATTGGAACAAATACAGGGTGGTTCAAGATTCAGCATTCTGATCACTCTTGTATCTGTTCCAATTAAATATCAGTAGATAGTAAATCAAAAGTTGGGATAGGGACATAAAAGCCGTTTTGACCAATAATGAATAGTTTCGACGCAAAAAAATCCCAAAGTTGAAAAATCTGGATTTTGAACACCCTATATCTCTGTAATCTTTCTCGCTAGACCCCAAGTGTGATGCAATGATGAAATCAGCTCACACAGGAGAATGCGAAAATACAATGAAATACAGGGTGTCCCATAAGAAAAAGTATAACTTCAATACGCCACGCATTTCTGAGTAACCCTGTAAAAGAGAAATAATTTTGATATGTGCTGCTCATGATCCTAGATCATCTCTGAAATTTTCATTCATCTAAAGCAGTTATCTCACTTTGCCACACTAATGACTCACCCTGTTAAATACAAAATAGGTTAAATTCATTTCCACAAATGTTCATAAAATGAACAACAATGGTAGATGACGAAAAAGAAAAACAAGTACTTTCCTGGCTAATTCCACGCAGAACATTGAATTACATCCTCCCAAAATCAAATCGAAATTAATCAGCATTAGGGAACCCATTACCCACAAAATGAAAAAGTTTATGCAAGAAGCCGCGCAGCAGCTAGTACATAAATTTCATGATTCATGAGTGCCTAATGGGCTTACAACTCGTGTAACATACTATACTTATTCTACGCCCATTCATGTTCTTTCATTGAATAAAAAACATCATAATCATTTAAACTTTATCATAATAGTTGTTAATAACAATAATTGAACAATCATTGTAAATCGATTTTGACTTATTATTTGATGGTGATGACCGGTTATCTATAATTGTAGTACTGCTTGGTACATCAGATGACAAAGATTGATAATTGGTTATTGCCTCCGATATTCATAATGCCTTGTCATTTTTATTTTCAAGAGATTGATTCACATAGCCTTCCGCTACTGTAGAAAATTGCCAGCCACCAAGTCATTTCAATGATATCATATCATCTCCTGCATCAACTAATATAGTGGCTGATGATCTTCTGAAACAATAGCCAGTATATTGCTTTGGTTCCGGCAGCTCAAGATATTCAGCAATTTTACGTGGTGTATTACAGATTGTGTTTATCCCCACAACCTGTTTTATGCATTTTACATTTCTGTTATTAAGAAATTAAGTAATTTCCATTTCAGCAGGATGCAAATTCATGTATTTTTGACATGGAATATCAATTATCAAGGATGTTCTTGTGTTCTGAATGTGTTCCATTTTTATATATCTAAGTTCTTGTTTACGGCAAGCCCCGCTTAATTCAATAATGAGTATAACCTGAAAACAAAAAACTCATTCCAATGTGATGATAATTATACAACATTTTACCTCTGACAACAAATGTTTATCGTCTGGGGCGTCATTCAGAAACTTATTAATTTGTTCAGTAGAAAGGGTTTTCGATTTTTTTCTCCTAAAACCATCCTATTTCCGCTTCAGAAGGGCGATTAGTTTTGGATAATTTGCTATGTTAATGTTATTATTAATGTTGGTAAAACTGCATTTAGCATGCGATGGGTTTTTTTTCGAAAATTTTTTTTGGTACTTACGTATTTTTGTCTGAAAAACACGAATTTGATAATGAAAATGTGAACAAACCACTATTTATCGAGATATTTCAAAAAAAAGTTCGAAATTTCGACTCCTTTTTCCCCTTGCGTTGGATGCATTTTCAGGTACTTGCTCTTCTTATTTTGTCATTGGACACTTTATATACTCATGATGTACTTCAATGACACATTTTTATACAGAAAATTCAACAGGAAATATGATTTTTATGGTGAGTTTTTCCTATTTAGTGAGCAAGCATACCAGATGACGGCCATTTTATCCATAGGCAATCCAAATACGAGATGTCAAATGTCAATAGATTGCTTTGGAATGACATTACACACGCCATTATTTCAAATGATATTCTTCCTTCTTTTCAATAAATATGGATAAATCACAAGAAAATCATAATTCTAGTTGACTCAATAATAGAAAAAAATGTGTCTTGCATTGTGATATATATAAATTGTCCAATGATGAAAAAAGAAGGGTGAATTGTTTAAAATTCAATCCAGAAGACAGGCGGAAAAGAAGGTGAAATTTGAAACTTTATAGTGAAATATCTTGATAAATAATGGTTTGTTCACATTTTCATTATCAAATTCGTGTTTTTCAGACAAAAATACGTAAGTACCAAAAACAATTTTCGGAAAAAAACCCATCGCATGCTAAATGCAGTTTTACCTTAATGTTTACTGAAGTTCTTAGCTTCGAATAAATAGCCCATAGAGAAGATGGCTTCATAGTTTTTGATATTTCTTCAAAATATGCAAGTAAAACATTCTCCGAAAAGGATTTAACATTATGCTTGTGTGGCCAATCCATAAATTTTTGATAAGTAATTTCGTACCTTTCTTTGGATTTTAGCAGTAACAAATTATGTGTGGCAGCTTGAGCTTTTTCTAAAATCTCCCGTGGAATGCTCATAATTTCATCACTTTCACTACTATCAGACATATTCATAGATTAAGTTGAGAAAATGTTTGGATACAATTATATTTTGTTCAAGAAATTGAATATAAATGACATGACATTTATTTTCATAGCATGCTACAAGGCATTGCATAACGTGCTGTCTACATTTAGGGGCATCACTCTTTCAATCCTAAATATATCTCCCTATCGCTAAAAGTTGACTAAATTTGTGTAAATATACCAAATAAAGTCACATAAATAAAAATTTGATTGCAATTCAATTAAACCAAGAAGTTTAAGTATTTTATGAGATTTTTTTTATCGCTTGGAGCGCACGAAAGGGAATCCCTATAATGTTCAAAGAATATCGTGCGTTCCTAGGGAGGATAGGGACAGGAGGTAGGAATTTTTTTTGAACTTTTGGTGATTATATGTTGTTGGGAATACTCCACAGGCTATGAATTCCAGAGCCTAGCCGTTCCATGGATGAAGGAGTCTTGATAAAGTGCTGTTCGACATCTTTCGAGGTTGACAACGAAAGGATGTGCTGACTGGGCTTGTCTAGTTCGTCTGATTGGTATTGCTAGTGAAGGGATGATAGCAGAGATTTCCGAAGAACATTTCCCGTGGAAGTATCGATAGAAAAGTGGAAGGTCGCCCACCTTTCTACAGTGTTCGAATTATGTCAAAGAGTGAGTGAGTGTGGCGTCACCCACCAGGCGAATGACTCTTCTCTGGATGGAATCTAAGAGCATCAGCGTATGTTTTGGTGCTGAACCCCATATGTGGGAACAGTATTCTAGAACAGGCCGTATCTGCGCTTTGTAGATCATGAGAAGCTGTTGAGGTGTAAAGTAGCTTTTCGCACGGAACAAGAATCCGAGCAAGAATCCGAGTTTTTGTGAAGCAGCTTTTGCCATGGATCTGACATGATTATCCCATGAAAGAGTGTTGCTGATGGAAATACCGAGCATAGATATGGTGGGCTTGGTGGGGATGGTGGAGCCAGACATTACAATATCGGGCATACTGAGTTCCGCCTTTCTAGAGAAAACGCAGGCTTGAGTTTTGGTGGCGTTATTGTTAAATGTCATTTACAAGAAATGTTTACAGTGCGATTTCTGACGTTTACAGTCATGGGCGTAGAAAAAGTAGTTTTTTTTTCTCTCGTCAACTACCATTGTTCATTTTGTGAACATTTGTGGAAATGACTTTGAGCTTTTTTGTATTTATTTAACCCTTCATTCCACTTTGAGTCTTGTGGCTATTTCGTAGTTATGGCAGTAAGGTGTAGGGATTTAAGACTTGGCCTGGCCGGTGACATGGTATCTATCAATCGTCCTGGTTTGAGCGGGACTGTTCTCGCTTATGCATTGAGATGGAATATTTTTAGACTGATTCTCCTCTATCGGGCCATGCTAAGAATATTTGTGAACTTACCGAGAGTGGTGCATAGTGGTTGCAAAAATGATCTTGGTCCATCCATCTCAATGTTCTTCAATCTACCTTTTCTCCCTGCCCTGCCTAGGAACATGCGATATTCCAGG